TTTTTCCTCAATTAGCTTCCCCTCATGACCTCTTGACCCTTGACCCTGGATATGTCATCTTTCAGGGGTGATTTTTTAATCTTCTGAGAACTTCCTGATTTAGAAAAACTAACCTTGAAGCCTTCATATGAAGTGCTTTGGTTTGAATCCAATCCCTTGGGTTCCCTTTACCAACATCAGCTCCTATCTCCTGCTTCTTTGGACTTTGCTGCTAAACCTCATGGCTGGGAACTTCTTCAGCAATCTGTCCTTGAGCTGCTAGAGTCCCTTCATCCAGACTTACGGAGAGCAGGCAAACCAGGGAATTCACATTTCTCCTGGGTGGTCAAACAAGGACTGTCTAATGCTGGGCTACGAAGACCCAGTGCCCTTGGTTAGAGACTGGAGTTCCCAGGGCATTGGGCCAAGGCCAGCACTTTGCCTGACTGTCCTTTATTTCCTTCTCCATCCAATTTTCTCCATCCCTTACTTGTCTCTCCCAGGAGTACTTGGTAAACCCATCACTTGAGCAAGCATCTGCTTCTGAAAGAGCCCCCCTAAGACACTCCTCTGCTTCTGAGTCAAGAGCTCCTGTTTTATCCAAAAAATCTAGAGTCAAATATGGATAGTGCTGTCTAGATGATAGCTGAGGGGAAGTTTTTAATTATTTATTTATTTATTTTTATCCTTGGCTGTGCTGGGTTTTCCTTGCTACACGTGCACTTCCTCTCGTTGCAGTGATCCAGGGCCACCCTCTAGTTCGGTGCACAGGCTTCTCATTTCGGCGAGCCTGTTGCGGACCACAGGCTCGAGGCGCACAGGCTTCCGTAGTTGCAGTGCTCAGGGTTATTTGCCTTGTAGCATGTGGGATCTTCACGGACTGGAGATCGAACCTGTGTGCCCTGCATTGGCAGGCAGATTCTTAACTGCTGGATCACCAGGAAAGCCGGAGAGGAAGTTTGATCTCTCTCAGATTTTATGAAAAGAATAGTAACAATGTTTACGTGTTCTATTCTTTGCAGTTGTAGGCCTATGTCCTGAGGTTGGTGAAAAGGGACATTTTCAGCACTGTAAATCCAGGACAAAATGGGGGAGAGTTCAAGAAATAAATGCAGCCTTTCATTGAATGCCTCCAGGGTTCCAGGCATTGTGCAAAGTATACACATATCAACTCATTTCAGACTCAGTGTCAATCTGCAGGAGATCAGTAAGGGGAAACTGAGGCATGGAGCATTTCAGTAGCTTTTGTGATCACACAGCTAATCAGTGGCTTTGTCACTTCAGACACAAGAATTTCCCAAGGTTAGGGAGCTTCCAAACCCTGTCCTGAAACTTGGGAGTAATTGGAGATGGACCTCCAAGAGCGAATCTCCCCCACCCCCGTAAACTGCCATTTAACATAGACAGGACTTCTCGTAGCTTGAAGGTGATCAGGACAAACACTTTGTCCCCACCGGAGCAGAGAGGAGAGCATTTTCCTGCATCTTGCCTTGCCTGGTAAACATGGGGAGGCAAGGGTGGGCTGAAGGTGGGGACTGTCATTCACCGCTGCTCTGAGAACAAAGCATGCGTGACATTGCAGGGAGAGCCCTGGGAAGCATTTCAAAAGCTCCACCGAAACCAGACAACCTTTCAATCCATTTATCAAAGTGTCTGCATTTCCCGTTTCAGGGTAGATGAAACAATAATAAATTTGCGAAGAAAGTTAATCTGTGTCCAAAGCATTTTAGTAAATTAAAAAGGTGGGGGGCGGGGTAGTGCTGGCTGGAAGGGGGATCTATTGGTTCTTGCCAACTCCTGTTTGACTTACTGTCTCCTTAATAAGTCCTCTTTGGTTTGGTGTTTTGGGATGGAATAATCAGTTGGTTAATCATTTTCCGGAAGCAGGAAAATGCACTTTAGCTAATGCAGTTCTTCTTTCTGAGTCCTAATTATTTAAAAAGGCATTCCATTCTGTAGCCCCACTTTCCAACCAAGAAAGCCTTTCCTACCAGTCATCTTCTTTTATTTCCCCAGAAAATCCCAGCTCGATTCTCTCTCTCACCCTAGTCCAACCTCATTCCTTTCCTCTAAGGTTGTTTCCCTGGCCACTTTGGAGCATTTTCCCCCAGGAAGAGGGAAGTACTAAACCCCTTGACAAACAATTGCCAGAACTAGGATCTGGGCACTCTGGATAGACTTTGTTATTTTTATTTAAGTGTCAGGCGAAAATGGTGGCTCTTGTCTCTCTCAAAGATAGTACTTAACAATAGCTCCCTGCTCTGGCATCATGCTGAGATAAACACACTATTAGGAACCCTCACAAAGGCCCCAAGATAATTGTGAAGGGACAGTTACCGAAAATGAAGCACCCAGCCCTGAACCCTCCTCCACACCCCATCAGTAACACCATTAAAGCTGTCAGTTTATCAGCCCACTAGAGGTATTTATGAAATCAATATACAGTCCTGCAGATAAATGGCAGTGGTACTGTTAGCCAGAGAAAAGAAGCTCCATGGAAAATAAAATTAATAAAATTTACAAGCAGATTGTCATGGGGAACAGATAAATTCCCTACCATCTACTGTTTTGCTCAAACTGCAGCAAGAGGAAGGCATGGCAAGGAGGTGGCAAGAGCAGTGCTTTCAATGGGGCTTCTGAAAGTAGGAGCAAGACTGGGTGTGTTTACGGCAAGAGAATAGTGAATGGAAACCCACGTGGCCGTCCCATCCCAGCGCAGGATTTTGCCTGTGTGACCACTTTCGTGGGAGATTGCCTGGCACCTCCACCAGATTTTTCTGCTTAAATAAGACTCTTCTCTTTTCACCCTACTGTACTGCAAACCAGAGTACTCATACAATTGCTCTTGGTTCAGTATACCGGGGTACCTTAAACTCAAAGGGTGAATGCATTATTGGACTATGTACCACTTCATCTGGCTTTCAAGTGTGCTTAGAACTGATCATTCTAAATCTCTCTCCTGTTTCCTCCACCTGCCCTGATTTTGATCATTAGCCATTTGCCACAGGCCTGAGCGGTTTCCCAGAGTGGCCAAAGCCAGCAGCCACGCCTGCGAGAGAAGCAGGCAGGGGCTCACTGCCCTGGAGGCCAGCCTTCACTCGGCAGAAAAGACGGGCCGTTGTGGCTGCCGAAGCCTCAGGGACAGCCCAGGGGCCTGGTGGAAGTTGCCTGAGGCAGATGACAGGACCTGGGCCCCCTGCTCTTGAAGGCTGATGGAGAGCAGGGGAGTGGCCTTGGTGACACTGCCTGACCTCTGCTGTTGTCGTGGGCTTTGTTCAGCGCCCAGACTGCAGGCTGGAGCCCTGCTCATTGAATCAGGCCCAGCCTGGGGAGCCTGCAGCGGGGCGCACTCTGCATCTGAATTTACTTACATCAGTTGCAGGCAGAGGAAACTGGATTTGAGATTGGGAGCACCCTGTTACTCAGCCCCGAGACTTCCCTCTGTGTTTGTCTCTGCACCTGATACCACACTAGGCCTGGCCTCGGGGCCCAATGGTGGCCCCGTCTCCATGGGGCCCAATAGTGGCCACTCTCCACCGCTCAGAGCAGGGCCACTTAGCTCAGCAGATGAGAGCAGAAAAATGGACACCTCTCTTCTGCTTCCTAGGTTTCCTCTTGCTCCCTGGCAAAATGGTTAATTTAGAGGGCCCAGGTTTTAGTGGAGGATGGTGGTCTGACTTCTCTTTCCAAATATATTTGGAGTCATCTATAGCTTTGGATTAGGTGTCCATGGAAAATCAGCAAGGGAATGTCCATTTGCCTCTAGGACAGCATGGCAATTTGAGACATTTTCCCTGTGACCCAGCACATCTCCTCATATGACTTTATACCAAGGAGGTAGCCAAACAAGCATCCTCAAAATGTGTGGGCACTGGGAAAATTCATCCCAGGGTTGCCTTAAATGGCAAATAAATAAATACCTGACAGTGTAGGATCATATAGCCATCTATAGAATTGGATGATGTACAGCCATTAAAAATGTTGGCATCGGCATACTGTTAATGACAGAAACAGATGTTCTGAATATAGTGGGGGAAAAAAGGGTTATAGCAGACTATATACTATGAGATCATATTGGTGAAATTTATATATATATTACTCCTAATTGGTAACAGTGGTTGTGTCTGGGTAGGACATTTTTTACCTTAATATCTGAAAGTTATTGTGTTCTTTTCAAAGTAAGAAAGATATATATTTGTATATATAGATGTGATCGATACACAAATACATGCTTGATTACTCACTAAGACCCCAAGCAAGCTTGGGGTACGAATGAAAACAGGTGCGTATAATTGGTCCAGCAAAAAAGAAAGCTGGAAGGCCATGAGAACCGAAACAAACACATGGGTCTCAAGAAAGGCTTTGGGGATTCTTAAAGAGGACGCTGCTGATACAGACTTGTTTCTGAGCAGCTTTGAGACCCGAACTTTGTCCCTTTCCCCTCCCTGCTCAAAACAGCATGTTACACTGCTAAATACGGAATCCATCATACCTGTCCCTAAGACAATCTAGGAGGCCCCCCCACACCGAGTCTCTCCGGGGCTCCAGAAAAGCAGAGATGGTACCTCCCCCCACATCAGAAAATCCCGGACGGCCTGGCTCCATTCCCATCTCAGATGACAAAGGCAGAGTTCCTGAGAAGATGGGAGAGGGAGAGGTGCCGACCCTGCCCTGGGGGAGGGACGTCATGGGGGAGGGGAGGAAGGGGTCATCTCTTGGAGGTGGCAAAACAGAACTGGGTGCAGTGTGCAACAATTAACCCACTGCTTGGCTCGTGGCCTGGAGGTGTGAGACCACCCACAGAGCCCGCCCTGGAGGCAGCGGCCGCCTGCTAACCATTTCAGCAAGGCCATCTCCAGAGGAACAATGTGAGGGCTGCTGCCAGCCCGGGGCCTGAGACTAAACAGTCCCCCAAACACTGACCGCAGACTCAGCCACCAGAGGGGTTTTGTTATCATAATGAGATGCAGATAAAGCCTGGCTGGGTCCTTAACGCCTGTGCCTCTTCTCTTCTTGTTTAGAGATCTGAGCGAAAACCAGATCCTGGGAATCCCGAGGAAGGCGTTCCGCGGCATCGCCGACGTGAAGAACCTGTAAGTGATGTTTCTGTTGCTTTCCTGCAGACAGACTCTCTGGGCAAAGGCAGGGTGAGCGACATGGGACGGGCAGACAGCATCCCCATGCCTGGAGCTGCCTCGGGCCAGCTGCCTTTCGGACAGATTGAGGGGTGTGCTGAAGTGGTTTCCAGAATGCCGAGGCAGCTCCATGGAGTCTTTCTTTGATCATTCGTCCCCAGGCATCAATATAGAGTCCCAGACCCCAGGCACACTCCTGATCCACAGTAGCCCTGTGGCCTGAGTCTCGACTCAGCTTCTTCCAAGCTCATTACCTTCTATAAAACGGGGAAGATAGCCTGGTGGGGTATGGATGCAAATGAGAAAATGTTTTTCATGCTCAGTGCCTCAACATAGTAAGTGTTCAGCAAATGGGAGCCTTGATGATGCTGAACATCTTGATGGTGAAGATCTCACTGTTATTAAATAGGATCTTATGAGAGAGCATCAGGCCTTGTGTGCCAGGTTTCTGGGGCGACATAGCCAGACCTACTGCACTAGATGCTTGGAGTTTTTCTTCATTTTTTTTTTGAAATAAGTATTGATTCATAGGAAGTTTCAAAAACAGTAGACCAGTCTGCATACCCTTTCTGCACTCCTGTGTGCACACATGTGCGCATGTGCAGGTCTCACTTTATCACGTGTGGATTCCCTTGCCTGTTACTGCAGCTGACGCAGAAGTGTTCCGTCACCCTGCTTTTGAACTTGCCAGATGACTGTTGTCGCTTCTTGCCTGGCCCCCACTCTTTGTCGCCAGTCAGGACTCTGGTCCCTTCCTTTCACGAGGAGTGTGCCTTTGGAACTTCCCACCTGCCCTGCTGAGCCCACGTGTTCGGAACCTGAGTTTGGAGGGGGGCACAGAGGAGGCCTTTCTGCCCACTGGCCTCCTGCACAGGCTGGTCTCCAACTTGAAAAGTCTTGAAGGAGGTTTTTTTTTTAAAAAAAAAACTACTGTAGCTCTGACTTCTCCCTATAAGGACTGCAGGGACTTTGGTGTGCCAGAAAGCTGATGATGGCTTCCCAATACAGGCTGTCTGCCTCCCCTTTGCTGAGAACTGAACGGAAAGCTTTAGGTGTTTGCCATGCAGCGCACAGCGGAGGCACAGGCACCTGGGGTGAAGGGGGCAAGGGCCAGAGAGGACTTTGCAAGGGGCCCCAGGCAGGAGGCTGCCCCCCACTTCTGCTCCATCTGCCTAGCTGCAGAGGAGGGCTGGGAGGAGCAAACAAAGCCTGCGGAGGCCGTGACTCAAGATGGAGCACATAAGACGTGGTGTTGAACAGTGTCCCAGAAAAGCAGGAAAGCGTCAGAGCCCTACATTCCCCAGGTCAGTGAGAAACTGAGGACCAGAGAAGAACAGTGACAAACTCAGTCAACCATCTTCCTGATGGTTGAGCCCTCAATTAACATCGTACATACAGAAAGGGGTATATCTATCCTGTTTCATGGCTGTAATTTTAAATGAGCCAGTTAATAAAAAGTAAATCATGGTGATGGATAAGCAGGACTGTGTAATGACTAACTACATTTTTGAATCTCAGGAAAGTGATTCATTCTTAGAGTCATCCTCAATAGTTTGTGGGGTTTGAGGGTTTGTTGTTGTTTTCCTGTACCGTCTATAATTTCACAAAGCCCTCAGGAGCAGAAGGTGTTAAGAGTCTGCAAACTCAAGAACTATGGACAGGGCCTCCTTCGCCACCTGGATGTGTGTTCTGAACAGCAAGGATCTAGGGGGACAGGGGAGACAAATAAACTCACTGCTTAAATGATGAATTAACCAACAAAGCACAGGAGGTTGATCACCTAATGCTTCTGATCAGTCAGCGTGCTTTTGGGGACCAGGACTCTAAGGCCCAGAAGTGTGAGTCATGCCTCAGGTGACTTTATGCTGTAGCTGGGGACAAGAAGCGTGCATCCGAGAGGAAATCCAGAGTTTTAGCAGCCCACGGGAAAATGAGCTGACCAGTGGCCATGCGTCATGAAGGACTGTCAGAGCTCAAAGAAGAACACTAGCTTTAGGCAGTGTCACCTACAGGATAGAACCGTGACTCTGGTTATCTGCTAGACATGTGCCCGATGCACAGCTGTTCCCCGTACTGACTCTGTGACCCAGGGTACAGCACTTGACACTCTGAGCCTAGATTTCTGCCCTGTGAGAGGAGGATAAGAATTGTACTTCACCTCCAGGGCTTTTGTGAGGTGAATGGAATAACACGTTTGAATAATGCAGTACTATGCTTGGCACTTGGAAGGTGCTTAGAAAGTTGTAGCTAATGTTACTGCTGTCTTCCGTTGTTGTCATTGTGAAGATTTTCGCTGAGCCCAGACAGAGTGACGATGGAATTCACAGAGCGAACAGGCAAACAGCGTGTGCAGGGTGGGGAGGCGAGTCTGTACAAGCTGGGTGTCAAGGGCCACAAGCTGAGTCATCTCGTGAGAGTGGGGGGATCATGAGCCAGAGTCATAGGTGATCAGGTCAGAAAGAGCGGTGTAGTGTGGTTATAATTATAAAGACTTGCTCTGAGCCTGGAATCACGAGTGGAGTGCACAGAGTGAATGGGCAAATATTGTGTGCGGAGTAGGGAGATCATGCGCCGGAATAATAGGTGAGCAGGTCAGAAAGAGCGGTGTAGTGTGGTTATAATTATAAAGACTTGCTCTGAGCCTGGAATCATGAGTGGGATGCACAGAGTGAATGGGCAAATATTGTGTGCAGAGTAGGGAGATCACGCGCCGGAATAATAGGTAAGCAGGTCAGAAAGAGCAGTGGGGGCCAGGTGGTGAGCCTTGCCTGCAAGGACCGTGCTAGGCACTGAGAAGGTGGAGAGCTTCTGAACTGAAAGAGGTCACAAGGGAAACAGTCGCCCTGGAAGAGGAACCTAGGACAGGAGAAGGTGGAAGGGAAGAGGGTGTGGAGATGAGGCTGTGGTCCAACATGCGGGATGAGGGCTCGCAGTCAGGAGTGGAAGGAGGAGTCCCACAGTAAAATGCCAGTGAGAACCAAGGCAGCGGAGCTGGCAATCGGGAGTTATTAGACTGAGGAAAAGAAGAGGCAAAGGACACGTTCCATATTTAGATGACACAGAGAATGATGGCAAGTCCTCAGTCATTCACCCATGCAGCCTCAGGTGTTTTCTGAGCTCCTACTACATGCCAGTTCTAGGGGGAAATGCCTCTGAGCTCTGCCTTCTTGGAGCTCCCATTCCACAGAGAGTGAAAGATCAGGAGTGGGGTCAAGGCTGGAAGATGCTAAGTGGAGTGTAAAGTAGTGTCAGGCCTTGCACAGTGCGGGCGGAGCATCTTTTCTGCGTCAGGGAATGGGTGAACTTGACCTCCCACCCTGTTCCTGCTGGGTCTCTGACTTTGGTTTGTGCTCATAGCGGCATCTCTGGTTTAACTCAGAGGGTCTAAAGTCAATCATCTTCTCACCTTAAGAGAAGATGAAGTGTAGGTAATTAGAGGCATGGGGCTTCCCAGGTGGCACAGAGGTAAAGAATCTGCCTGCCGGTGCAAGAGACACAGCTTCGACCCCTGAGTCAGGAGGGTCCCCTGGAGAAAGAAATGGCAACCCACTTCAGGATTCTTGCCTGGGAAGTCCTATGGACAGAGAAGCCTGGCAGGCTACAGTCCATGGGGTCGCAAAGAGTTGGACATGACTGAACACTCATACATCCAGGCACGCAATTGAAGATATAGGACCCAAGCTATGGAGCAAGGTCAAGAAGGAAGCATCTGAATAAAGGTTGATGGCTGTAGTTGTATATTTAAATATGTGTCACTACATGTGAAATAGGGGACAGTTTGTAAAAACTGTATGTTTGTATAAAACCTGTTAGGGAACATCCTACTCCAACCACACCTCAATCACTCAGTTGTGGACTGTCTCTCTTGTGAGTGACAATGAGCAAATTTTAAACCTCGGGAATGTATATCCCTGCCATCAATCTGAGAACCACGTGCCAGGGAACGTAACAGTCTTCTACTATTGCTTAAGCAAAATAGGAGATGATAAATTATTGCAGTATCAGGCTGTCGATTCCTGATACTATTAAGAGGAGAAAATCAAGGATTGGCTATTTGTGGTTTATGATTTTGTAGTCTTGGTGTGGATTTTCTTCGCTTGTCCTGACATTCCCCTTCAAGAATGAAGAGACTGTGTTACCCCCATTTTCCAGATGACAAAACTGAGTTTCAGTTAGTGTGTTGCATGTAATTTAGTAAAAGTCAGCAGACCCCGTTGGGCCTAAGCCTCTGCACTTAGTACCCACCCACCCATCTTCTGGACTCAGTCCATGGACATTTCTGTCTAGCCAGCTTGCTCCCCACTCAGCCCCGCAGCAGAAGGAAGAAGGAAGGTAACCCACGGGGCTGCTGGCAAGCAGAGGCCTGACTCTTTGGCAGCGCTGAAAGGGCCCTGGGACTCTTTGAACCTGGTGGGATGAGGAGGCACTGGTGTCGTGCTGGTGCTGGGGGGATTTAGTGCCTTGCCCCCACCCAGGCGGCAGAAGGAAGCCCCTGTTTGCTTCCTGCTTTTCTGGAGAAAAGAAAGAATGCGATTAGCTGGGGATATGGCTCTATGCAATTACTCAAAGCTGGTTTTATGGGCTGATCCTGCTACAGTGCCTGCCTGGGAGAGGAGAGATTCTCTATTTAAAGAGAGACAATGGTTCTCATTAGTTATCTATTTTATACATAGTATCAACAGTATACATATATCAGTCCCAACCTCCCAATTCCTCCCGTCCTTCCCCCTTGGTATCCATAGGTTTGTTCTCTCTATCTGTGTCTCTATTTCTGCTTTGTAAATAAGATCATCAGGGGCTTCCCTGGTGGCTTAGACAGTAAAGAACACCCCTGCAATGTGGGAGACCTGGGTTTGATTCCTGGGGTGGAAAGATCCCCTGGAGAAGGGAACAGCTACCCACTCCAGTATTCTGGCCTGGAGAATTCCATGGACAGAGGAGCCTGGCGAGCTCCAGTC